GAAGTCTCGCCGTCCTCGCCTCTAAAGAGCATTCTGGCTGCCTTGTCAGTTTGTCGTACTGTGGTAGCTTGTGTGTCGCTGTGATATTGGAGGCGGTGCCACTGGTATTTCAAATGCCGGCTGGGTGGCCCAAAGTGGACAGGAGACAGCAGAGCTTCCAGGCCAAGAACAGACAATGCAAAGAAAGCCTCGGCTCCCTGCTTCAGAGGCAGGAGCCCCTGAAAACCTTATACACATCGCTATTACATCAGAATGCTGGACCACAAACAATAGCTTGCAAACCCCGGCCACGGGATAAGATCTGAGGCAGCCTCTGTTTATAGTCACAGTTACTAATTCCTGCCTGGCTTGGGGGCCACCAAGATCCCAGCTGACATTCAAGCAGCCTCCCCTTTCCTCCCTGACAAGTGCCCGAGGGTGGGTCTGGGCTCCCCATGAGACTCCCCTGCCGCCCCTTCTGCCCAGCCCACAGCCCTGCAGTGTTTCTGCTGCTGGGGACCATGTGAGTGAAGACTTGACAAAGACAAGGTGGAGGGATCCTCACAGAGGAAGCCAAATTCCCTTTGATGGTGGAATGTTTAAGTCCCAGAGGGAGAGACGGGCTCCCAGAAGTGGGCGTTGAGATGAGGGGCATGGGGTACGCTGTCACCAGGGAGGGGCATCTAGAGAGCAGGTCGTGAATAGGCGCTCTGTATCCCTTGGGATAATCCAGGCCACTCTGCCCCCTGGATATGACAAGGTAGTCCCACACTTGGCATCCCTTGAGGGGCTGTGATTAGGCGTTACTTGAGTGAGACCCTGAGATGGCTGTCCTAGGTCCCATCTGGCCCACAAGCGACTTCAGTTGGCTTCTGTACAAACCTCCTTGAAGGAGACCCTAATTAGAAGCGTGCTTGATCAATTTTAATGAGAGCTCCATCGTAAGAGAAAAAGGAGGGGACAGGATGACTCATGGTAGACTGCCCCAAAGGTCTAGCCTGGACTAGTTGCTCATGGCCCTGCTGAAAACGGGCCGTTCCTCACTGCTTGACTGAGAGGCTCTACCAGTGATGGCCACTGTCCCCTGAGTTCACGCTCCCCCACCCCACTTCTGTGTCCCGGTAGTCAGCATCCTCCCTGGAGGGCCAGTGCAGGCCCAGCTGCTTCTGGAGGAGGTGGACCCTGACTGGGAAGAGGCAGAGACTGGGGACGGCAGTGCCAGCCCAGAGGAGGCTCGGGCTTACCAGGAGGACAGCGGGGCCGTGGAGGAGACGTCCGGGTAAGGCACTGGAGGATCCTGGGACACCTCAGCATGTAGTACGAAATCCCACAGGCAGAAAAGGGAACAGACAGAAAACCAAGCCTGCCCCCTCCCCAGCAGCCAGGTGACCACTCCACCCACCCACCCCAGCAGGCACACTCACCAGGCTCTGCCGTGCTGCTCCAGAGGCAGCGGCAGTGTCCCCCTCAGCTTTCACCAAATTAAAAAAGAAAACAATCAAGTTGGATTGTGTTCAATAGAGAGAGGACATAAAAGCTGCCACTGTAATGTTTTATAAGTGCGCCATCCCGTGTGGCATGAATTACATACAGCACCACCATTTGGTCCCACAGCCCTGTCACCATCAAGCCATTATGCCCTCCTCTTTCCTCCTCCCCTACGACTTTGCCTCTAATGCATATGTTCTTAACAGGAACGGGGTCTCCTGTCATGGTCACGTCCTGGGTCAACTTGGCTCAGCCAGTGTTCTCGGTGGTTTGGCAGTGAGAGCCCGGTAATCCCCATGATACTATAATCAGTTCCATGATGCGATCTGATCTGAGCAGCCAACAATTGTGAAAAGATTAGGGTGGAGTGCAACTGACCAGAAGTTTCCTTGGGGATGTGATCTACTCCTATCTAAGCAGATGCTGTGGAGTGCTTCTTCGATTCTGGCTGGTTTAGATCCTGCGTCTGGTTCACCGATCTCTGATACTTTGGACTTGAGCCAATGGCCCACCATCCTGGCTGCCAACCATGAGATCCTTTGGGGTCTGGTATCTGACCTGCTGAACTTGAATTCATCTGCCACTGCATCCACCAGCTGTGGTCTCCCTGCCTCCTGACTAGTCAGCCCTGATAGCCACATGAGTCCAAAACACCTCCCGCTTCATATCTGACCCAAGGATTTTTAAAAAACATTTTATTAGGGCCTCATACAACTGTTATCGCAATCCATACACACATCAATTGTGTAAAGCGCATTTGTACATCATTCTCAAAACATTTTCTCTCCACTTAAACCCCCGACATTAGGTCCTCATTTTCCCCTCCCTCCCCACTCCCCCCTCCCTCATGAAACCTTGATAGTTTATAAATTGTTATTTTGTCATATCTTGCCCTGTCCGACGTCTCCCTTCACCCACTTTTCGGTTGTCTGTCCCCCAGGGACGAGGTCACATATAGTTCCTTGTAATTGGTTCCCTCTTTCCTACCCACTCTCCCTCTACCCTCCCTGTTTCGCCACTCACACCACTGGTCCTGTAGGGCTCATCCACCCTGGATTCCCTGTATTTTCAGTTCTTATCTGTACATCCAGTGTACCTCCTCTGGTCTAGCCAGACTTGCAAGGTCGAATTCGAGTCATGGTAGTGGGAGCAGGGAGGAAACATTTAGGAACTAGAGGAAAGTTGTATTTTTCATCGTTGTTACATCGTCTGACCCAAGGATTTAAACCACACTGGACTCGCCTGTTTCTATAATGGTGTGAACCACTTCCTTGATGTAAATTTTGTTATTTATATTTATATATCACTATAAAATTTTTATGTGTGTATTTAAAGAAATTTATATCAAGGAAATGGCTCATAGTCTACACACACACACACACAGAGGGGTACCCCCCCAAAAAAAACCCCCCAGAATTGTGCTGGGCAGAGCAGAGTTTTCCTAGTACACATTTGTCCCGATAGGTGAGCATCGAACAACTTGCTCTGAGTTAGTGCACCCAGTGGCATCGCCTGGGAAGGTTCTCCCTGGTCACGGTGAATTTTTTTGTAAAAGCAGTTTCGATGGAACTTTATTTTTTGTGATGGCCTATTTAAGAGGACAGTGTGTGGCTGTGAGATTTTGCTTCCGCTCAGGAAAAATGCCACAGAAACTGTTGTGATGTTGAGCACAGCTTACAAGGACAGCACTATGGGAAAAATTCAAGTCTATGAGTGATTTTCTCATTTCAAGAAAGGTGAAATGTTGACTGATGACAAACCTTGTTCTGGATGTCTGTCAAAAGTCCTGAATGGAAAAAAATGTCGACTCATAGTGCATTTGGAGTTCATTCCACCAGATCAGACTGTTAATCAAGCTTTCTATTTAGAGGTTCTGAAAAGATTGTAAAACAGTGTGTGACAAAAAAGGCCTGATTTCTGGCAGACGGGACTGCCACAATGCATGGCAATGCACCTGCTCATGCAGCATCTCAGTGTGCTAGTTTTTGGCAAAAAAACAGCATGTCTCTCTTGCCCCACGCACCTTAGTCACCTGACCTCACTCTGTGTGACTTCTTTTTGTTTCTACAAATGCAGAGGGACAGTGATTTGATGACGTAGAAGAGGTGAAGAAAAACATGAGGGAGGTGCTGTCAGCCATCCAAACAGATGAGTTTGAAGAATGTTTCCAAGAATGGAATCACAGATTTGACAAATGCATTAAGTGTAACGGAGAGTACTTTGAAGGTGATAAGGTGGTTTTGTAAAATAAATTTAAATACATATCTTTGGGAAAAAATCCAGTTATTTTGGGTCGAGGACCTAGCCTAATACACTTTATTTTCTTGTACACAGCTAGGGTCCCCGTGCACATTGCATATATTTAACGATATAGTTTGGCATTTTCTCAAGAGACCACCTCCATATTTTTCACACCTGCATGCATTCCATGGTAAGGAGGGACCGTGCCCCTACTAAGGGATATTTAGGCTGAATCCAAAATATTGTTGCTAGAAGCAACTTTTCAGAACAAATACATGAAAGTAGATGTCAAGTGTCTAGTTCGTACAAGCATGAGCTTATTCCAAGCAAAATGTGTTTGAAGCTATCTCTGCGATCGGTGGGTAGCTCAGTCAAACTCTTGTCTCACCTCCTTAGGGTGCCTTCAAACAAGCAATCCAACAAACAAACAAAAAAAACAAAACAAAATAAAGAACACTTCTTCTGCCATGGAAAAAACAATTTTGAGGTTAGGAGGACTAATATCAACATGTTCATAAAACTCAAGTGAACATCTTCCCAAATCAGTAAAAGCTTTGCAACAAGTTTACTGAGATGCTGCCCAATATAAAACAACATGTTCAGATGGCTCGCGTGTTATAAGGAAGATCAGAAACTTCCCCCTCGGTGCATGAAGAAACTGTGGTTGACGTCTAGGTTCCAGAGGAAGGAGCCCGCAGTTACCCTTCCTAGTGATGGAAGCTGGCGATCTCGTGGCCCCTCATGTTCAATTTTAAGTGAACATCTTTGCCGGAGAAATCTTTCAGCTCACTGGGTACCAACAGCATTTGGGGAAGATCAGCTTATCATTCCATCTGTCTTTTAAGCAACATCAGCGCTGATGAGGACCATTCTGTGGAATGGAAAGAGCCAGGAATTTACCATCATGATCCAGAGAGCAAGGTCCCATAAGTGGCTTCCGAGGGGATCTGACGGGCTGGTGCCAATCAAGGGAGAGGGGCCAGTTCAGAAGGTGATGGGGACTGCTTTTTTGAGATTCCCAGGCGGTCCTCTTGATAGATCGTCTTGAAGGATGCGGGACAATCATGGGAGCTTATCACAAAGATGTTTTCACCAGGCAGGCTGCTCTGAGGGATTCCCCACCCCCACCCCCATCAGGGCACTGTACCTGCACAATGAAACGTTCACTGGGAACATTCATCCCAGCTGTCCCACTGCCCTGAGTGCCCTTTCAGACGTCTTTCTTGTCCCCCAAATGCAGGGAACACTCAGAGGGACCCTATTTGAGTTCCCCGGGCATGCTTGAGCTGCCGATTCAAGCGTCTACACCAAAGAGCACAGAGTTCTTGGTGGCAGGCTAGAGAGATGGAAACCTGGCCTTTGGATGTGCCCAGACTGCGATGGGGAAATTTGTGGAGCAGTAGTTTCACACTTGGATAGTCACGGTTTCTGGGATTTGGTAGCACGACTGACTTTCGTACTTAGCGCATGTGTGTTTGCAGATGCACATGAGTGGCGGCGGTCACAGGGCTGGTTTCTGAGGCTGGGTGGGGTGGGTCCATCCCCGCCCCATGGCTGTGATTGCCGCCTTGCCTTCTAAGCCATGGAACAAGCCCCCATCCCACCAGCCATGTTGGGTAATAGTTGCCCACTCTGAGAGACTCAGGGGCTCGGGCAGTCCCCAGCCCAGGCCTTCAGGACATGGATGGGGAAACTGAGGCCCAGATAGGCTCAGGAGCTGGCTTTAGGTCACCACCAGGAAAATGGGTGGTGGTGGTGGGGAGAATGAAGAGACCTCATTGCTAGAGAGAGCTCAGGACACCTCAGGCGGGGGTCCCAGGTCTGAACCTGGAGTGGTGAACCCAAGGTGGGGTCCCCAGAGTGGGCTGGGGCATTCTGTAGCGAGGTCATCTTACAGAGAATGGAGTGGGAGCGGGGCTGGGGAGCCGGCTGAAGGGCACTTACCTTCTGCCTCTGACCCCATCTCAGGGAGCTGCCCCAGATTCAAGAGGAGGAAGAGGACGAGGAGGAAGAGGAAGTGGAGGAAGAGGAAGCAGAGGAAGAGCCCAGGTGAGACCCAGGAGTGGCTCTGCCTAGCTAAGGGATGCCAATGGGGCTGGCTTCCAGCCAGGGACTGCTTTTAAGGAGAGGAGGGCCAGGGAACAGAGGCTGGAGGTGATGGTGGGAGCTGACACTACAGAAGCGGTGGTACCAGACTGCCAACTCCTTGAACTTGATTCCCAGGGAGTAGTGGGGGGGGTCACTGAAGCTCTCTGAGCTACGGAGTGGTCATCTGACAGTTGCACTGGAGAGACATGGAGGCCAGCAGAGGCAATGAGGAGGTGCGGTCACTGACCACGCCCTTGCATTGTTCCTTGTCCCTGCCACTGCCACTGGGGTCCCTCCTGCGTCACACACCACCTCCCCGAGTCTTAGGAGCTTGGATGTTGGCATCAGAACCCTGGCTTTGCTCTTCTTAGCTGAGTGACCTGGGTCAGAGTTTTGCTTTAGGGTCGATACACAGGGACACTAGTAGTCCCCCTGTAGGGTGGTCACACAGGTGGTCTTGTGAGAATGGAAGGGACGGGACCTGGCCTGGGACCAGTGCCTCGTTGGGAGTCTCTGGTAGTCTTGATCCCATCCAAACCAAACCAGCCTACCGCTGGTTGATGCCGACCCTGGAGTGAACCCGTAAGACAGGGCAGAACTGGCCCCTGGGTTTCTGAACATGTATTACTCTTTACGGGAGTAGAAAGTCCTACCTTACTCTCGAGGAGCTGCTGCAGATTTCGAACTCCTCACCTTTGGGTAGCTGCCCAATGTGTAACCACTACACCATCAGGGCCCTGCCTGACCCCACTGAAGGTCACTTTTAGTCTTAGACAGGATGTAGTGCAACCATGAGACCAACACATGATTTCAGAGCTGGGAGCTATCCGCTTCTACGGACCCTCATCCTCACCACAGGGCCCTTGGTGGTGTAGTGGGTTATATACATTGAGCTGCTAACCAAAGTTCAGCTGTTTGAATCCCCTAGTCATTCTGTGGGAGCCAGATAAGATCTTGTTTGCTTTCCTTAAAGACTTAGAGCCTCAGAAACCCACAGGGGGCAGTTTGACACTGGCCTGTGGGGCTGCTGTGAATCAGAATCAACTCAACGGCAGTGAGTTTAATCCAGTTCACGCGGAATCACATTGCATAGAGCCAGGTGGGCTCAGAGCTGGCTTCGGGTCACCGCCAGGAAAAGGGGGCAGATGAGGGAGGATGCCGAGACCGCGTTGCTGGAGAGAGCTCAGGGCTCCTCAGGCAGGGCCCAGGTCTGAACCTCGAGTGGAGAGCCCAAGGTGGGGCCTCAGAGTGGCATCAGAATGCCATCCCTGATAAGACTTCTCACCGTCTCTGCTTGCTTACCTCCAGGGGTGGGGAGCTCATGACCCCCTAAAGGCTCTCCTTTCCATCCATGTGTACCTCTGATTGGTGGAATTTTTTCTTATACTCAGACTAAGCTCACTTCCCTATGGCTTCAGTAACCCAACCCTCATTCTGCTTTCCGGGGCCCCTCAGAGCAAGCCTGCCCTCTCACCAGCAGGAGCCCTCCCTCCGATCGGTGAAGACCTACGCCCTGTGTGCTGCCATCATCGGCGTGCCTTGTTCGCGCTCTGCTTTCCCCTACCTAGCTAGGAGTCAGTCCCCCTCAACTAAGCCTGGGTGCCCACCACAGAGACAGGGAAACCTTGTCTTCCCCACTGCCTTGGCATCCGTCTCCTGGGGGATCAGGGCTGAAACACACTCACACAAGCGCACATGCACTCACGAGGCCCCCAAATGCAGTGCACACCAAGCACACGCATGTCTGCATGTAGACACAGACCCGCACACCCCAGGTGGTGCATACATGCATGTACAAGCCTGCACACATGGAGACCCACACATCCCGCATAGACACCCCCCACAGATACATGTGCAAACATGTACCTGCTATCAGACAGGTACATGAGTGCACACCTGCACATACCCATCCTACACTCCTGCACACACACACACACACACACACACACACACACACGACCGTCTCAGAAATCCGTGAGGGCAGTTATGCTCTGTCCTGTAGGGTCGCTACGGTACGGGTAGGAATTGACTCTGTGGCAGGGAGTGTGGTTTTGCATCCAGGGGGTGGTTGTTTGTGAGAAGTTACACATTGAAACAGTTTCCCCACAACTCTGCGACACTGTTGATAGTTCCACCACCAGCCTCGCCTTCCTTCTCTGCATGGGCCATTCCTACTCCACCCCCCCAGAAGCTGTTTGTCTCCAAGGCCCCATTTGGACCGTTCTTAGCAGGGCTGGGGCTCCTGGGCAAGCATTCGTTACTAGTTGAACTAAACTACTGTTTGGTTTTAAGAAGATTTGGGGGGATGCTTTAAGAGACTTTAAGGGCTTGAGTTTATGCCCCCTGCCTCGACCCTGAGTTTTTTAACTTGGGACATTTTGGGTCCCTGTCCCGTGAGCCATCCCAGCATAAGGCCTGGTGCGGGCGCAGCTGAGTGTCACAGGCTGGGGAGGCCTGCTCTGGGCCAGCCTTGCCAAAGCACAGGGGTTACTGATGACGTGAGGGCCCTGGAAACGGGCAGCTGGTCACCTAGCGACCTGGTCTCTGAGGGCAACAGCTGGGCTTTTCCTAGCAACCACCACCTTTTGGTCCCCACCTGACCTCCCCGGAGGGCCTTCTGCAGAGTTCCCTGCACAGTCCCTCAATCTGATTAGAGGTAGGAAGGACAGCTGGCTTGTCTGCCACCAGCCAGCCAGGCTCCAGCTTTGGAGCTGCCTCATGGGCGCAGTGCTGGCTGGGCCCTCCAAATCCCCCACATGCAGGTGCCACCCCAGGACGGGGGTGAGAGGCAGAGCCCCCAGCTGAACACCAGCACCATGGGCACCCTCGTCGGCAAAGACAGCGAGACCCAAGTAGGTGCCTGCTGCTCCCCAGGGTCCCCCCACTCCGCTCTTCCTTCCTGGGGTGGTGGTGGGGGGTGGGGGAAAGACGCTGAAGGTGACCATGAGGACTTTAATTTGAGGGACACTGACCGCTGGGTGGCTTGGGGGAGGCAAAGCAGGTTTGCCCACACTCCAGACGGCCGCTCCTCCCAGGGCCTGTCCACGCAGACCAGCCTGTCTTTCCCTCTGCTAGGAAATCCTCATGACTGGGGAACTTCCCCCAGGCCGCCAGTCTGCTGTATCTGGGCTGAGCAAGGTGGGGTCCTGGCAGGCCCTGGGTACGTTATTGGCTTTGGCCCCCAAACAGCCCCTAACGATGCTGACCGGGCTACCCTTGGGCTCCGTCAGCATATGAATAGCTGGGGATGTTTGTGCAAAAATTCCCCACTCTACATGGGTGATTTCATAACCTAGCAGATAGCTACCGCCTCCTCTGGCATTAACGATAACGACAAGAACAATAATAGTAATTAACTGCTGCCCGCCTCCCCCCCTCCCCCACTGTGTTAAGGGCACCCTGCCTGGCAGATCCCATTTCATAGACAAGAGGACTGAGGTTCAGGAGCCTGCCCTGCCAGCAAGTACAGAGCCGGGATTCTCTCCCATGTCAGGCTGCTTCAAAGGAAGTTCTCAGTACAGCTGATCCGAGACTTGCTTACTGTGTTTTGAGACTAAGGAATCATGGGCAATCCTTTCCACAAGACACACACACACACACACACACACACACACACACACACACACTTTATTGAACAAAGAGAGGTACTTTTAAAGATACC